ACTAACTGCGATGACGGTTTACCGCCTCCGTGCGCTAAGCACTCCCTTCGATAACGATTGCCCGCTGACCGACAGAAAGGATCGTTGTGGAAGTAAGTTTGCCAAATCCATGCGGCAATTGCACGAGATATTAGATAAGAATAATATTTCGCACCGTATCCGACCAAATGAGAGAATCTCAATTGCCATGCCTATAAATAAAATAATGAGATTAATTGTGGTATTAAAAACTACAAAAATTGTTATAACTAAAAACCGAAACGATTATAGCTGTCTATTTTTTTTTGTAAACGTGCAAGATCTGTGCCCCAGAATCAACTCAGAAAATTAATGAATACATACTGTATTTTTCACATATGGAAGGCCGTAATATCCCTTCTGTACATCTTCTAAAATCTCGGTGGTGGATTTTGTTAGTTTACCACTGTGATATACTTGATCCAACATGCTGTAAAACACTTGATTCTGTAATTCGGAGGCATAAAAGATGTTCTTCGAAGCGCATAGTTTGTGCAATAAATTTTCCGGCATCGGTTCTTGAGTTTGAAAATGCTTCGCAAACTTCGACACAACCTGCGATCGCGTAGGTGAATTAAAACACATTCATTGTATCGTGTGAGCCTCAAGTATCAGCAAACTTGTATAATAATTTCATTAGTTATAGTAGGTCATACCGTAAATTATTCAATATTTACCCTAGGATCACTCGCAAAATATTCCATTAACACACTTGGTACTTCCGCGAAATCTGTGCTGCATCTAGTACCAGTAACATGCTGATATTTCGTTCGACCGAGCATGGAGTGTAACGCGTGCCCCATTTCATGAAACAAATTGTCCACAGATGACGGACTCAATAAACATGGATTTGACCAACGTGGGTGCGGCAGTGATAGCATAAGTACAACTATGGGAGTCTGAAATTGATAACGGTGCTATATTAAATTGTCATAATTTCTGCAATTGTACAATATAGATACATGTACGAATAAGAGATACAAAATGAAAAATTGATAACAAGCACATTAATAACAAGAAAATAACATATTTAGTTATTATTAATAATATATATAACAACTTATACCTGATAAGAGCCATCTGAAAGTTGCTTTCCACCTTGGATTGTAAAGTGACAGTCTTGATTAGGCTTTCCTGCTCTTTCGTAAAAATCACAGTAGATATAACCCAAAGTTCCTTCCTCCTCATCTATTACAGCTAATTTGTGAACGTTATTCGCCCATACTTCTCCGGATAACACCGGGACGGATTCAAGTTTAACTCTATATAATGACTGTGTAAGGAAATTTAAACCTTCCATACAAGCACCGAGAGAAAAGTAAGGAGCAAACTCAGTGGTGGAAGTGTTTAACCAAGATTTTTTCGCCTTTGCCATGAAATAGGGAGTATCCCATGGCATCAATTCCTGTTTAACAATGCAAAAAACTTTATAGTTGTGAAATAGAAAATAAGAATTGATACTGCAACCGCCATACATTTGATATAATTATACAAATAGTATAAACAGTATTATAAATATAATATAGCTACAGATAGATACAAACTTGTTTTATACGCGACTCAGCATCTTTCATCTTTTGCATCTCTTGAAAATCTTGTGCCGCTTTAGGCTGCAGATTGTCGTTTAATATATCGAGAAATTCCTTCACTACGACCGGCGATTTGACTGTACTTCCTTTTACAGCTCTATAATAAAAAGTTTTTAAATTATTCGCTCGCGCAATTTCCGTTCAAAAGAATTGATTGAAATTACCTGCATGCGTATGATGCAAATCCGCAAGATTCCGCCAGCAGATGTCTGGAGTGCAAGAGTTCGTGCAGCAGATACTCTTGTTCCTTATCCGGGAATAAAAACAGTTTGTATGCCGCTTCGCGAACGGCGGTATTAGAAGAGTCTGTGTAAAATCCTTGCACTAATATCTGACCGTTCTCCGTTACAAAACTGTGAAACGTATCCAATATCAACGAGGAACTTTTCTAAAGCTTATACCTTCGAAAAGTTTCAAACAAAACAGTAGAATTTAGTCGAATGACGAAACGAATAGTCGACTGAATTACCGTACTTACTACTGCCTAATAACGTCGGGTAACATATTGGCATTAACTGTCCTCGGGGTGACGGCGCCAGCCATAAACTTTTGACCTACCTAGAGATCGGAAAGAAAGAGCACATGTACGGAATTGACGATTAGAGATAATCGTTAAATAATATTTACTTGCAGGATATAATCGTTTAGCTCGACTACTCTTCTTCTTTGTCTTTCCGGCAAGTGTATACCACATTGCTCAAAATCGAATAGGAATAGCTTAGCTACGTGATCGTCTATATCGGATGTCACTTGAGTATCACCGTTACATGTAACTTGTTTCAGTGAATCGTACAACTCGCGATGTGTATTCAACCTGCAGAACATTTAATTTGTAAACATAAATTGCTGTAGCTATAAATTAATCTTGTTAATAAATCACTAATGCCTGCTCATTACAGATGCTATATTTTTATTATATCTTTATATATTACTAAAACCTTTTTTCTTGAGAATAAAAGCACAAATCCATGCATATTAATAAAATCTAGATTATAACATAAATTTCAAGAAAATTCTCGAGTAATAACATAATAATATAATGAAAAAATCCAAAATACATGGTTCAACTGCTACCTAACAATTAAGTACATAATATAACTTCTCAAAAGTAAACTTACTTTTCAACTACGCCGCTAATAGTGATACAAGCGTCTTCAGCAGCTCGAACGTATCGTTCATCAGGATGAGCGACTCTAATAAACTCTGCCATATCCGCCACTTTACACAGCGTATTGGATAACTCGTCAAATATTTCCACCATTTTTCTCTTTCTATCCTTGCTTGTCGCTTCCTCGATGAGACCGTCGACTTCTGCCAGCGTACGATTTTTCAATATATCAAAGCCATCCTCGGTTTTCAGCTCCGGAATGCCAAACAGTCCCTTGAAGACATTTTTAAGCAATAAAACATGTATGCAAGATATAATTTAATACAATATAAAATTGAACAAATTTCTATTATTGTGCGCACATTGTATTTTAATTCAAGTATCAACTGCCAACTAGAAAAGTATTTAGTTCAGTATTTATTTGATAAATACTCAATTTATAAATATCTTTTAAGTTTTGCTGAAGGTGCATTAATTTAATGTCTGTATAAAAGCTGAATAAAATGTTCTGTATAAAAGCTCATTTTTAAATTATTAGAAAAATAAATATGTAGAAAACCTCTCGAAACTTACTGTTTCTTTCTTTAACACATTCGCCGGATAATTTTCATCATTAACGGTGGAATTAAATGCCGTGGCGAGGGGTGACCATGTGTTCAGTCTCCTGCCGCTCCGTACATTTCGGAAGATCTGTCTTTGAAATATTCGTAACATCCTTCGAAAATGTGAGAATTGTAGCGTAGAGAGACGTTTAAACGATCCGTGGAAATTAATGAGAATTCTTCACGATAATATAATTAATGCAAATCCCTCTGTAGTAATTAACGAATAAGCGTCTGCGCGTGATGTTTACTAGTGTCAACGAGCGCGCATCCTCAGAATTGCTAGAGGGAATAACAATAACCTACAAATCACGTGTCAGCCAATCGACATATCTTCCTTTTCTAAAAGGAGAAAGAGGAACGTGCGTCTTTCTTCCTCGTGCTTCTGCGTTCCAAAAGAAAAACAAAAGAATGCACAGCATGCCTTTGGGGGAAAAAATGTCATATTTTCTCAGAAATTTTGTAAGAATTATCGAGACTTATGAAAAATTCTGAATATATTAAATTTCTCAGTTACTTTTAGAAATAATTGGATGAGGATTTTCGGAATTATCTGATATCAGTATCTGTATAATAAAAATTTCTGATAAATGCACAGATTTTCTCATGTTTGTTCAAATTTATATGTTTTGGCAATAAGAGAAATTTGAATTATTTAATTCTTATTTTGTCTGAGTTTTTCTGAAATACGTTCTAATTTTTATTTAAAAAATCTGACAAATTCTGAGTAGGTATTATTCTGAGAAAATCTGAAAATTTTTATAGAAATTCTAATTAATATAATATGAAAAATTTTGATGAGACATTTTTCCAGGGACAATGCTTCTCCAGTGATTAACTAAAATCATGTAATCAGAATTATGGAACTTCCTAATCTCGTAGAATTTATAGAGTCATTGGTTGAACGTGCGGTTAGTCAGTTGAGGTTAGGTTACTATCAACAACAACACGCTCCGTGCATAAAGTATTTAATATAAGTACTTGATATAACGATTTGTATTAGTCAAGTCACTTAGTTAAGTAATGTTAAAAATGAGCAATCAACAATTGAAGAGGTATCTCTTTTGGTTCGCTCACGAGCATGTTGACTTCCGGTTGGCCGTGAGTATTTTTTCGTCAAAAAACTTAATGATCATAATTACAGGCTGATTTCTTAAAGTGCTAAAATAGCTATTATATTTAACGTACCATATGTCAATTTTTTTTTTAAATTTACGTTTCATACTTTGTAAAAATTGCAAAATTTTTTTTTTCTTTTTTTTTTTCGAAGTATATTTATGTCTGCCTATATGATAGGCTGCAAGATTTTTGTTTTAGTAAATTTTACATAGGAAGGCGAATGTAATGTTATCTTAATATCTGTCATAGGTATTTACTTTTTATATCTATGTAAAAAAAACATATTTATATTTTATTGAAAACAAAGGTGTTCAGAGCCACAACTTTTAATGTTTGATGCTTTCATAAATGTATACTTAATATTGAACATTGTTTTCATACTCATTGTATTTTTCAGGAAATGGAATCTATATTTGACATGTTTAACATTGATCCGTGCACAATAACGAGGCCGAAGGAACATGTAAGGAAGTATGAACATTATCAAACATACATGGTGGAACCATAACATATTTTTCTAAGACATGCATTACATATGTAATCCATACTGGTACAGATTAATAAGAAGCGGTTTCTTTGCAAGAAGTATTTGCAGTTTATATTGCGATACAGGAACAGTTGTAAAACAATTTTGCAAATGAGAAAAATCTGATGATTTGTGAAGATGTTATAATAGTACAAATATCAAATTGTACTTTAAACTTACATATATAACTTAATATGCAATTTACATAGAAAAATACCAAATTTTACCAAATGATAATTAATAAAATAAAAGTCAATGTTATTAGCATATATATTAAAACAAATAATATAGTGTGCAATATATTGTGAACAGAGAAATAGATTTGTCAAATTTTTTCAGCCTTACTGGATCATGGCTTTACCCGATGAAAATGCAGTGCATCAGATCGCCAGTAGAGCAGTCTCGTTGCGTTTCTGTTTGGAGCTTTGGGCACAAGATAAACAAAACGAGGACTTACACAATTCCTTGAAAGCTTACTCCGCCAAAAATTCGGAGGCTATGGTCAGAGATAAGAAAAAATCGTTCAAGATCGTAGTGGAGACTTTCTGCAAACATTTCTCGCAGCGTGAGAAAATAAATAAAATCGATGTAAGTCGTTGATATTTCTTGATTTATGTTAGCACTAATCCCAACACTGCAATAAAATATAACTGCTGAAAATATAATAATATAATAATAAATTTAGGTTAATTTAATTAACGTAATGCTATTAATTTAATGCAATGTTGGGGAAAGTCTTTTAGTTATCTACCTTTTGAAGGACCAGTTAAGTTGAAAAATCCGGATATCACTCTATGCTATATAGAACATTACGGACTTAATCCCAACAACATTCCTGAAGAACCCCATGAATATTTCTTTGGAAGATGGGTTAGTAATGTAATTGTACATTAATCAATATTTATAGGCTGTAATATCATTTCATTATAGATTGCCGATGGTCAGCGAGAGTTAATTCAAAAGTTGTCACTAAAAACTAGGAAATTTATAGGAAATACGTCAATGGATCCCCAGCTGTCGCTGATAATGGCAAATCAGGCACAAATTAGAAATGGAGACCTAGTTTTCGATCCGTTTGTGGGGACCGGCTCCTTGTTAATTGCCGCATCACATTTTGGAGGATATACATTCGGAACAGACATCGACTTTTTAATGCTTCACGGCCGTACGAGACCTACACGGATATCGCAAAAGGTATCGTTAACGAG